CTCTCGGAGAGTCCAGCAAGCTACCGAGAGCATCACGCCCACACGGAAAAGCCTGGCAAGCCACCCAAGACGTATTCGATATGCCAAACACAGTAACAAGTCTCACAATGTTACTGGGCCCACTCTAGCAAATCGATGAACAACAGGAAGACAGTGACAGTGACTATATCCCAAGCATTTTATATGTATTACCTCATTTGTTTTGCAATAACAACAGGAGTTTGACTTAGCATTCCCATTTTATGAATGAGAAAATTAAGTCCTGACAATAGGGTTGATGAGATCGTATAAGAGGCAAGGTGCTTGCCTGCATACAACCAACTGCAGTGTGATCCATGGTCCCTCATGTGGTTCCAACAGCAATGCCAGGGGTCACTCCAAAGCAGAGTCAGGACTACCTCCTACACATCTCTGGGTATGGTCCAAACACACAACCCCCAAAAAGTTTTAGACAAAGTCACCCATCCAAAGGGGGAAATAGCAGTAATTGATAAGGCTATAAACAGGACTGGAGCAATCCTATAGCAGGTAGGGTTCTTGCTTTGCAAACAATCAACCCAGATTCAATCCCAACATGTATGTTCCCCTAAGCTATACCAGGAATGATCCCTAAATACAAAGCCTGAGCACTGGGTATGAGAGACAAAAAAAAACTATAAACTAATAATTATTTTTCCTTTCAATGGTGACACTTTACAAGGAGTAGAGGTGTACTGAGTGGTAAAAGACATGTTCAATCCCAGGCACCAACTATCCCACCTGCCAAGTGTGATGCTCATGGCCCTTCTATCTGTGATCCCCATCACCTCAACATGCGTGTGTAATAACTGGCAGCCAAAGTATACAAACACTATAAAACAAGTGTGCATCACCACAACAGCAACAACCATGGAAAGGGAAGGGTAAAACTAAAAGCACAAACTTTATTTTTTTTTGCTTTTTGGGTCACACCCGGAGATGCACAGGGGTTACTCCTGGCTCTGCACTCAGGAATCACTCCTGGCGGTGCTTGGAGGACCCTATGGGATGCTGGGAATTGAACCCAGGTCGGCCACATGCAAGACAAACGCCCTACCGCTGTGCTATCGCTCCAACTCCCTAAAAACACAAACTTTTTAACAGAAAGGACAAATGATACCACCTCACTCTAGCCCTCAACATTCCAGTCAGAACGATTTTCACATTACTCAGGTGGACCTTCAGCTTTCTTGTTTTGGGGTTCTGTCCATGCCATTTCCTCTGCCTGCCAGTCTTTTTCACCCCAACTTGTTAGATTTTAATTTGCAAGCCTGGATTAAAACTTAGGGTGTCACACTTGCAAGGCAAGTACTATACAGCTGAATCACATCCCCAGTCCTTGTCTTCATCATTTTCATTTGGACAAATGCTTATGATCCCATCCTAGGGCCTGGAGAAATAGCACAATGAGTAAGGCGCTTGTCTTGCAGGCAGCCAACCTAGATTCAGTCCCCTGCACCAGGTATGGTCCTTAAGGCCCCCCAACTGTAATCCCTGAGCAGAGTCAGAAATAAGCCCAAAGCACGGCCATTTATGTTCATCCTGCAAGATACATAATGTTATCTACTGAAGCTGAGGAATAGCACATACTGAAAATCTCACTTAAGCTCACCACAAATTCATGTTAACTTTTCCTCCTCTCCAAACAGAATAGAACTCCTTAAAATAAAGAACTCCTGGGTCCAAGAATATTTCAGTGGTACTGGCTCCTGCTTTGCAAGCCTGAAACTGGTGAGCATAGAGCGCAATGTCGGTTTAGCAAGTGTAAATGTACTAAAAACTACGAATTCTACACTTTGGGTAAATAGTATGGTGTGTTACTCAAACCCACTGGAAGTTATTATAAGAAAGGGAGGAGGGTGCCAGATTATAATAAGCAAGGTGCTAGATTTAAAATTTGAAAACAAATTTTCATAATTTATGAGACAAACTGCCCTTATTATTTTGTGTGTGTGCTTTTTGGGTCACACCTGATGATGCACTGGGGTTACTCCTGGCTCTGCACTCAGGAATTACCCCTGGTGGTGCTCAGGGGACCCTATGGGATGCTGGGAATCAAACCTGGGTCGGCCGCGTGCAAGGCAAACGCCCTACCCGCTCTGCTATTGCTCCAGCCCCTGCCTTTATTATTTTGCATGATCCTGCAGGTATACAAAGTTAAAATGCTTACAAAAATTGTACACGGTTTCAAAGCAGCCAAGTGACTTATTATTGTATAAAATTTCACTGACTGGGACCCAGCAATTGAAAACAATGCTATCAGAAATAAAATAAAACAAAAGACTGACTTTTTTCTTTGAACTCTTTCAAGTCTTCTGATTTGGTACATGTGTTATCTATTTTTAAAGAATACATTGTATCTTAGTTCATGCCTTAGTTAATCCCTGGCTATTCTGCTTCTAAAAAAATAAAGAATGAAATAGAAGTGCTGGAGGGGGCAGTAAAAATTTGATTCTTGCCTTGGTCTCATCTCACACAGAAATGTATTTAGTCATTTCTCTGTTAGACATTCTAATTAAGCAGGATTCTCTTACCCAACATGCTGACACATCTTTAAACAATGACACATATGATCATTCCCTCCTCCTCGAAAACTTCCTTCCATTCACTTCTAGTATATTATACTCCTCTGGTTTTCCTAACTCAATGATCTCATCAGCCTCTTCTCCTGGATCCACTTCATTTCCCCAGTGTATCCACAAGGTAGGGTCCATGAAGGCAGAGATTTGTCAGTTTTATTGGCTGCCACGTCCCAAAGGCTTCACAGTCCTGACAACTACACACAGCAACTGATGAATGAGTGAAACAGTGCCAAGGCTCCAAGTTGAAGAGTCACAGAATCAAATTATACCCACATAACTTTCACATTAAATTTACCTTATTGCATTTCTCTGAAAGTTGATGGTCATTGTACTAACCGCTATTTGAATAACAAAAAGACTCCATTTTCTGATCTTCATCAATGTTCTTGATATAGAAGATGCAGTCATAAAAATATTCACTTTTTATAACATAAAAACTGAATTAATAATTCTACTTCTCTATGACTTTTGTAACAAACAACATAATTAAATCCCCATAGACAAGAATATTACAGTAATGGCAACAAGTGACACTTCTGAAAAGATAAGCGTGTTTCTTTCAGGCATAAGAATTTCTAAATAGAAACAGATCCACAGATCCCATCTACACTTAATCCAATTCATGCCATTTCATTCCTGTAGTGAAAAGATCCAATACCATGGACAGCCATACATAAGTCTTTCAGCAATCTACAATGATTCACCCAGTTATCTTCGTCTGAATTTGTCTCCATGTGTACCCAATTAAACCAGAGTGTAACTTAAAAGCCACAATGAAATATGGAAATTTTTTTCTTCTAAGAAATCCAAAACCACAATTATTCATTGTATCAACCTATAGTTCAAAATGTCCAAAGTCAATTAAAGCTTCTACTTATTAATTAGACCACACCTGCTTTATCTTATAGCTATTATAGCATCTGTTTCTATAAGTCTCCTTAAATTGATATAATTTCTAGAAGATCACAGTCTGCTCAATCAAGCAAGCATGTGAAAAGGCAAGGACCTGGAACGACTGACAATCACATTGGTAAACTGCTCTCTTGGGTTACAGGAAAGCATTTCTCTGGCTCTGTTCCCAAATAAATTGAGTAAGCCTTGAGAAAGTCATTGGTTAAATTCCATTTCATGACGGTTTCTCTTCCTCCATAAATGAATTATTGAGTCATGCCTACTTCCATCCATTACATAATGCGTGTCCATCACAGGAGCTATTTTCTGATCAAGAAACAGTTTAAATGACACCGAGGGGAAAGACCAGGGGCGACTCTCCTAGGGAACGAATACAAAAAAGCACTCGGACTGAATGTGCTAAGTTGTGAACCGTCAACGCGAGGACACTGATCTGTGTACTCCCGGGAACATCCACCTAAGAAGCGACTGACACGTGCCCGGCACGTCGCGAAAGACTACTACGTTCAAGTCCTCGGCTCCAAGGACAATCTTCGCTCTCACACACGCGCACGTGTCTGCTACGGGCATCTGCAGCTGGGAGACGACCATCTCCGGTACCCAAGTGCCCAAGGGAAGGGGCACACACATCCGGCCGGTCTGAGCGTCCTGCAAAAGACACCTGTGCCGCTAAAGCCCTTCCGCGTGGTCACGCCACCAGCTCGGAGAGGACGAGGCCGAGTCGGCACAACCACCTGCAACCGCCCCAGGAGCCGTCCCTCCGCCAGCGACGCCCCCTGATCTCGGCCGTTCCTGAAGCGCCCCCTCGAGACCCGGGGAGGGCGGGAGGGCGCGGAGGCCGGCCGGAGGAGACACCCTTCGGAGGAGACACCCTTCGGAGGAGACACCCTTCGGAGGAGACACCCTTCGGGAAACCAACGCCGGGGCGCCCCTCCCCACCCGCCGAACCGCCCCGTCTGGGGCAAAGAACTTCGGTCCCGCAGACCCTCCCGCAAGGCACGAGCTTCCCTCCGCCCCGGAGCCGGGGAGAGCGGACTGCCGCCCCGCGACCCCCGGACACAAAATGATAATGATGATGATGATGATGCCAAAATGTGTGTGTGGGGGGGGGGTCCCGCAGGCTCCGAGCACGCGGCCCGGGACACGACCCGGGCTCCCCGCGACCGCCCCGCCGAGGGGAACATCCCGTCTCCCCGCGTCTCCACCGTCACCCCGAGCGCCCCGGACCCACCCGGGCTCGCGCCCGCCTCGCGCCCGCCGCTACCAGGCGCGCCCCGCCCGCCCCGCGGACCCTCGGACCCCCTCGGACCCCCACCGCCCCCCCACACGCACACGCACACGCACCCACACCCGCGCGCGCGCAGACGCACCGCCCGCCCGAGCCGGGGCGGCGCCCGCCGGTGGGCTGCGGCGGGTCCGGGCGGGTCCGCCCCTCCCCGACGCGCCCCCCGGCCCCGGCGCGGCGCGGGGAGGGGTCCCGGGCCTCACCTCCAGCTCCGCCCTCCCCGCCGGGGCCGAGCGCGCGGCCGGGCGACGAGCCGGCGAACGCCTCAGCGCCGCCGACGGGCGGGAACCGGGGGCGCCCGCCTGCCGCGCCGCCGCCGCCGCCGCCGCCGCCGCCGCCTCGGGGCTGCGCCTCCCGCCGCCGCCGCCTCAGGACTGCGAGTGTCGCCGCCGCCGCCGCCGCCGCCTCAGGGCTGCGAGTGCCGCCGCCGCCGCCGCCGCCGCCGCCACAGCCACCGCACGGCCCGGGCGCCCGGCGACGTCACCGCGCCCCGCCCCTGCGCGAGACACCTAGCCCCGCCCCCGGGCGCCGGCCGCGCGACGCCGCCAGCTCCGCCCCCGCCCGGCCGCCCCGGGAGGACCGCGGGGCCCTCGGCGCCGCCCCGAGACGCCGGGGGCGCGGGGGCGCGCGCGCTCGGGGCGCCGAGGCCCGGGAGCGGGCGCGCGCACACACGCGGGAGCGCGCGCGCGCGGCCCCGGGACGGGAGTGTCGGAGGAGTCGGCTCCGGGCCGCGGAAGGTGGGAGCGAGGAGCGAGGGCCGGCGGCGTTTGTCCCCTCCCGCCTGCCGTAGGTGGATGCGCCGCGGGCCACCGGAGCGGGACTGTCGCTGCCTCTCCGCTCCCCGCCCCCCGCCCCCGTCCGGCGCGGGGCCCGTTAGCCGAGCCCCCCCCACCTCGGTCCCCTGGTCCGGGGGACTGGGCACTTGGCGAGCGCACGCTCGCCCGTGCTTGGATTGGGGGAAATGAGGCTGCCGAAAGGAACGCTCCCATCTGAGACACCCACGGAGGGAATTCGGGGGGTGGGGGGTCGCGGAAGACCCGGGCCGGTGCACAGCCCGCCTGCTCTGTCAGAGACGGGCCGAAATGGTCCACGTGGCGTCCCCGCGACGTTCCCGGTGCTCGTGCGTCCTGGACCTCCCCGTCGAGGCGAGTGTGCCGCGCCACTGGTACGGCGGTCCAGCTGCATCCGGTAACTGAAGGATGCAGGTAATCTCTCTCTCTCTCTCTCTCTCTCTCTCCCCCTCTCCCTCCCGCCCCAAGTTAGATGGAGTTTTGCAATAATTTTCCAATGCCCTTGAAATAAATAGGACTTAAGTCGTTTTACCTACCAAGCTACCGAGAGCATTCGATAAGCCAGACACAGTAACAACAAAGTCTCCAATGGAGACGTTACTGGGCCCGCTCGAGCAAATCGACGATCAACGGGAGGGCCTTTACCTTTACCTTTACCCTACCTACTCAGTGTACACTTCCTCACAATCCCACTAACGCTTTCCATCTCTGCCCAGATTTCACGTTCATGTAGTGCCCGAATTCTGCTTTGAACTATGCAAGCGTGAAAGTTCCTCGTGCCCAGGCGTTCTCTGCCCCCACCACGCCCCCCGCCCCCAGCATCGCCGTGCACAGATGCTTGCAGTTCCCGGCTCGCTGTACAGTCGCCCCCTTCAGTACATCCAACATACGGCTACCAGTTGTCAAACTGGACTGCCAGAGACCGAGCAGCCAAATGAAAGCAGCCTGAAATTACTTTTTTTTTCCCCTTCAACACCTGGCTCTTTACCCGCAAAATGCCAACCTTTCCTTTTCAAACGCCCTGGGACTCATTTTCTTTTCCTAACTTCCAGCCTGTCACTTTTTATTTGTGTCATCTTGGACAAATCATTGTACTTCCAGATCCTACTTTATTTGTTTTGGGGTTTGGGAGTGCTGAGAATCAAATCGAGGGCTTCACACATGCACGGTCAGCACTGGCTGCTGGAGCTACATCCCCAGCCCACTTCTTTTCTGTAAAATGAGGAGCAGATGCTTGAGATCTATGCTGTCCCTACAGTGTGCTGAACCGAAGAGTTAAGATCCTAAGTACTGAGTTAAACGTATATAGGAATGCTGCTATATCCCATAGTCTGATTTGTTTTTATTCATTCTGCCATTTTATCTTGATTTCCTACCTCAGGTAACTTCAGAGGAGTGGAACCTCCAAGCGAACTTTCCAGGGACGTATAGCCCCCTCCTGTGGGTCCCATTCTCAACCATCACGATGGCATTTAAATACCAGGGCCCACAGCCAAAGTGCTGCTCAGGTTCTGCAGTATGTAGATCACCCCAGCCACCCCAGCATTGCCCAGGGGACTCCAGACTGTAATTCTGGGGAACCACGTGGTGCTAGGGATTCCTACAAGGCCTTCACCCGACCTCCTGTACTATCGTCCAACCACTTACGTGCCTTTAAAAAATATATAGGTATTTTAGTAAGAACAATAGTACAGCGGGCAGGGCCCTTGACTTGCACATAGCCAACCTGAGTTCAATTCTCACCACCCCAGATGGTCCTCTGAGCTTGCTGGGTATGGCCCCAAAACATACATACATAGAGACAGCATAGCAAGTAGGATGCTTGCCCTGCACATGACAAAGCCATATAATCCCCTGAACCTGCCAGGAGTAAGTCCCGAATACTGCTGGTGTTAACTGCTCCAAAAATGGATAATCAGAATTTGTTTTTTCTTTGGGGGCTACACCCAGCTATGCTCAGGGGTTACTCCTGGCTCTGCACTCAGGAATGACTGCTGGCAGTGCTTGGGGGGCCATATGGGATGCCAGGGATTGAACCCATGTCAGCCGTGTGCAAGGCAAATGCCCTACCACTTTACTAGCGCTCCAGTCCCCAGAATTTTTTTAAAGCTGCCTAAGCACATTTATTCATTGCCTCTTCTTTCAAGTCAAGTCATCATTAAGATGCTAACAATGGCATTTGAAATGATACTAATCCATCGAAAGATGGGAAGGGGCCAGCAGAAAGCAATTCATTTTCATTTTACACAAGAAAATGAGTGGAGTCTGACTAAAAGGAGGAAACTATAATATGGTTCATAGGGGCTACAGCCAAGGAAAGGAACCACCTGCCAAGAGGAATTCAGAGACTGTAATTTAGAGACACAGAAAAGACCAAGAGCAAGAGTGACAAGCAAGGCCAAAAACAGACAAACTAAATATACATCTGTCTGTGAAACAGCAGAAATTCACAGTACCTTAGATGCAATAGCTGAGCATCTATCCTAGGCTAAAAAAATCAAGAATTCTCATAATCTCAGGGGAGAACTAGGGCAACTATTTGAGACTCTAAGAGAAAACCACTCATGGAAGAGATGAATAAGGCAAGACCACGTTTGCAAGGTGCCTAATCAGCATTCCAGATAACTCATCCTAATTATGACTAACCAATCGTCGGTAAATATGTGAGGAAGTCTCTGACATGGGGTGGGATTGAAAAGACAAAGAGACACAGAAACAATGATCAATGAGGAGACAAACTTCACAGAATGGAGGGAAAAAAACTGGGGGACAAGATGTCCAGGTAAGGAGAACTTGTTTTTACTCCAGCTATACCAAAACTTGGATTACATCTACATAAAATTATCCAAAACCCTGATGAGGCTTCTACAGCAAGGGATGAAAGGAGAGCACCCAAACATTGGTGCCTGAGAGACATCCTTGCCAAGAAAGTAACCCCATTTGGGGAAATTGCTGGCAATAAACAAGAGGTTTTCTTTTGTGAGGGGATGAGGTGGGGGATGAACACACACCCAGCAATGTTCAGGGCTTACTCCTGGCTCTGCACTCAGGAATGACTCTGGGTGGTGCTTGGGGGACCACATGGGGTGCCAGAGATCAAACTTCAGGTACTTGCATGCAAGCAAGTACCCTACCCACTGTACTATATCGCTCCAGTCCCCTAGACAAAAGACTTCTTAAGTGAAGTTCTTTACCTTGGGAAGCATGGAGGGTTTCGTAGACTACTCTGACCTCCTAATCCTACAATCCTATACTTATAACACTGGATTGGTTGGTAAGAAACTATAGGATATAAGCAAAAGTCAGAGTCATATGCAGGTACCTCTTCCAACCTTGCTGGTGAATACTATAATGAATTATCAGTCTCCATAGTAATAGATTCTGAAGACAAATTCCTGAAGAGTCCTCTGCTATCCTCTAGCAAATAGCTGAACTCAGTTGAGCACTGTGAGACATCAAAATGCCTTATTACCAGCAAGCATTCACCCTGCCATTCGCTATCTGACTGCTAGCGAACAAGCCACACCTGTGGTTCTCACAGAGCATAGCTATTTAGCAAGGGGCCCCACTGCTTACTGTATTCACTTGCCAGCCAGCCCGCGATCAAGCAGACTCTTCTCTGCTAATCCTAGACTACATGTTCTGCCACAAGCTAGGACTGAGCCTCCAGCCTCCTTCCTCTTAAGCCCACCCCAGCTTAGGGTTCTCTCAACAACACCAAGGTCACTGTGAAACAGGAAATATGGACCCATTAGGACTGGAGTTGGAACACAGGTGTCCCCAAATACTTACCTTTTCAAATCCCTAGTTATCATGTAGGCCTGCTCAAACTTGATGCACAGCCAGGATCAAACACCTGTGACTCTAAATGCTCCAACTTGTTTGCAGAGCTTCATGAAGCAACAGATCTGATGGAGACACAGAGGAACTTACACAAATGGATCTAGATGACATCCTCGAACTTCTACTACAGCTATGATAGGCTGCGGGGATAAGAACACTTCAAAGCAGCAGACCTAAAGATGTTTCCTACAGTGAGATCAATAGAAGAAAGCTTCATGATGGACACAGAAAGGAGAGAATGTTTGAGAAAAGTACAAATTAAAGAGCAAAAGAATATAGTAACTTAACTGAAAAGTATGATATGCTGGCTCGAGAGAAGAATAGAAGAAGCCAAAAAAGCAAATCAGTGTCATACCAGATAACCTTTCAGGATCTATACTGCAAACCACAATGTCCAAAAGGGGGAGGGGAAAGAGAGAGGGAGAGAGGAAAAATGCCTGTCATAGAGGCAGACTGGGGTGGGGGGAGGTGATGGGAAGAAAACTGGGGATATTGGTGCTAGGAAATGTACACTGGTAAAGGGATTGGCGTTGGAACACTGTATGGCTGAAACCAAACTATGAACAGCTTTGTAAAGATCTATCTCACAGTGATTTAATAATGAAATCTTAAAAATAATAACATTTTAATAGGTGAAAAAAAAAAGCAAATCAGTGAGCTCAAGGCAAAGTA